GGTGCCCGTGCTCGTTGGTGAGCTAGAGCCATTTTTCAACTGACAGAGCTCAATATCAAGGCAAATCCGTCATATTTTCAATGTGCGCGTGCACGAGCGCGCGCTAATGACGCCATAAATTATGCGCAGTAAGGATGCGCAATGCAAATGTGAGGAATGACCTTAAATGCCAACTAAAACCCCTTTGTCACCTGCAGCCTCACTGCCATTCAAAGGCCACGTCACTGAACAGACAACTGAAAAAGGGTCTATTGTCTATCATGTTGCGAAGTCTGATCTCCATTGGAAACACAACGGCAGTTCCCTAATGATTATGTTTGGCCGACAGCTGACCCGGGGTGTTGTGCAGGCAGTTTTTCATGACATACTTTTAATAATTCCTTATTTTGCTCGGTGTGTTTCTCCCACTCTGTAGGAGGCCTTGTCTGTGTTTCAATGCGCCTTTCTGGTTTGAAAGAATATGAAGACAAGATGCTGGAACTGGAGAGGGCAGGAAAGTGGGAAACGTTTTCTAAAGAGAAGATACCATATTCTGAAAAGGACGATCTACCCAAAGAGATCAATGTATTCATTTTCAAAGTACTTAAGAATTAATTATAGGCTGTTTTCTTTGTTGTATGAGAAATTTACAGGTCTACAGGTTGATAGGACCGTAACGTAGTTAATACAGATCACCAGATCACCAACTTTCTTTTCAATGAGCTCGTAAAATCCATTACCTTAATTGATTTAAATCCGACCTACCCCCCCCCCAAAAAAAATTGTTTTCTCTTATGACTGAAAAATTTAATCCCTGAAAAGGCTAAGTAACATCTATTAAAAACTAGCATTCTACCACACAGATTACGAGAGAGGAGGCTAAGGACAGATTTTAGACACAGTTGTATTTTCATGTTCAAAGTCAAGATGGCAATTGCTCTTCATAGGTAAATAATAAAATGAATAATATGGCCGGCCCCGTGTTTTTCTTCGCCAATTTGTTGTTGTTGTTGTTGTTGTTNNNNTATCAAGGCAAATCCGTCATGTTTTCCATGTGCGCGTGCACGAGCGCGCGCTAATGACGCCATAAATTATGCGCAGTAAGGATGCGCAATGCAAATGTGAGGAATGACCTTAAACGCTAGCGAAGACATGATCCATTCAAGGGGTTTCCTATTTTAAACTGACTGCCGAGCTAACTGCACAACTGAGTTTCTGTGTTTGGTCGAACTCTCGTTGTGTTCAAGTCTGTTCAAGACTGAGAGACAAGCGAAAATTAACAAGCTTACGATTTTGTTCGAGAGTCTTCGGGGCCTTTTCAATTCCGTCCAGTCTCACTCACTTGTTGATCTACGAGCTGAGGTATTATCTTTACCGAAAGAAAAAAAATGAAAAGAATAGTTTACATTTATCATTAGGTTCAAGGTAACTTTTCATTAACTTTCACAACACGACACATTCGTACGGTTGTCAGTGAAATGCTGCTAAAAGAAATTGTGATTCATTGCCTTGATTTTCTAAAGAGGTTTCAAAATACAGTGTAGTGTCTTTTGTCATGCGTCACACATATGAAACATCATCCTCATAACCGGACACAAGGTTCTCTTTAATTTAAGTATTCCACAAGATACGACAGAAGCAAACAACCAAATGACACAACAGAGATCAAATGTAGTTAACAAGAGGATGGACATAAGTTTTGCTTATAGTTTTGATTGGCTTCACAATTTAATCTATCTCTACAATATAAGTACATTGCCAAGCAAACAGGTTATAAGAACAAAGAGGATCAACCCAATTCTTAAATGGATGACGATTGCTTTGCGGCTGATGAAGAAACGCTTACTTGTAGACACCGATGCTCAAACAGGAAATAGAAAAACATCACATGAAAAACCTCCAGAACCTCCGACATCTATTTGCCCAAGAAATAAGACACTAATTTATTACGGCAGGAAAAATACGCAGTTTACAAAAGAGTGTTCTTTCTTCTTTGGTTTATTAAATTCACTTAGATACAAATAAATGCTAGTTTTCATGGTTAAGACGAATTTCATTGAATATTGATAACACCTAGAAATCTCAGTATTGATGAATTTTCTGCATTAACGAAATCATGCGTTTTTATGATTGTGGTATTTCAATCGACATAAACCATTTTTTTTTTTCATTTCCGTTAGGAGAAGTCATTAAGAGACAGCATTCATAAACTAGAAATAAGTGAACTTTGCAATTTAACTGTAGAGTAAACAATCAACCTAAGCGCAAGTGAAGTTTTTCGCTAATTTACCAATGGGTGTCATCAACGCTGAAACGACAGACAACTAAAACGAATGGCAATCAACCTTCCTGTGCACGACATGCTAATGAATTGAACTAAAATTGTTCGTCAGTGGTGTTTGTCGTCTGGCGATGGCAATGAAATCAGTAATCATTTCAGTTTAATTGATAGAGGCAAAATACAAGAAACCTGTTTCCAAGGTAAGTCTAAAATTGTTTTCTACTTGACCTGAGTCAAATAACATGCAATTTTTCTGAAGTCTGGGTGCCTTAAAGCAAAGAGAAATACAATGTTTGATTTAGTCGAACAGAACGAGCACTTCGTACCAGCCTCGAGGCAGGTGCCTGCAGTTTTCATATTAATAACACAATAATCGACAGCATAGAGCTAGAAGTTGAACGGAAACGGGACAGTTAGCAGTTGTCCGATGTTCTTATTACTTATTTTAGCTGTGGTTGAGGTTGAACGAGGATGGGCTAAATTAGGTTGAAATGGAAGAGGGAAGAATAAGATAAGTTTTGTTTATTCAAAAACTAGTTGTTGAGCAAGAAGTAGCTAGAAAGAAAGCAACAATAATAACAATTCTAAGTTCACAACAAGTGCATGTGATTATTTCGAGCCATGCTTGCCAAATGTCACAAAAGAGTATTTCGAATATCCCAGAAAAGGTACGGTAATTGTAACCCTAACCTTCGCATTTCATAGGGGGCGGTTTCTTGTGTCAATACTTTATCATGTTTCTTTTTTAATTTCATCCTACGTGTTGCCCTACATTTTTATTTAAATAAAATATATTTCGTAACTTTGATTAAGAGGTGCAGCTTTATTAGCGCTTTTGAAAAACTATTAATTAGAATCAAGTTTAATTTGTCACATATATTTTTTGCTGCACCTAGCTATAGATTATTATTCACTGTCGGAATATAAATACATATGAACTGATATGAAAAAGGCAATGTAAACAAGAGTTGCCAGTTGCTAGGTAAATTCTAAGTAACTCTAGTGAAATCAACATAGATACTGACAAGTTTAAGTGACGTAGATCACTCAGCCGTGAACTTGCATCAATGTGAAGTGACAGCTTCCACCGGATTTTTAATCTCGCTATACAAAGCAATGACAGATACAAAATTTCGCATTCGAAATCGTAATTTAAAAGTTCCTTGCCTTAAGTTACATATCTTTATTGCTTCACTTCGTTATCATTGATACAAAGGGTATTAAGTTATCGAAAATAGAGATCTGCCTTTTCCAACCGGATCGTCAATCTGTGAACCGTTAAGGTCCACTATTGTGCCTGTTGTGAGTATTTAAAGAGAGTTCAGTTAGGATAGGTAACTGAGAAAATCCCACGATGACTTGATAATACCCGAGAAAAAATTCAATCCTCTCGGTTAAATTTTGGGAAAATATCGGTTATTGCCGGTTTTTGGTACTCACTGAAACATCGGTCATATTCAGAGTTAGCAGCTAATGCTTTCAGCACATTGTTCGAAACATAAGCTCTCTCGATTAGCACTGGTTTGTGCCCTTAGAGCAAATGCCGAGTTGAAAATATTGTTTAAATAAATAATAATACAAAAAATACCCAGTCACGGGAGACAATTATCCACCAGCCAACTTCGGAAGCAATCGTCAGTCGGGTATTCTCGGAGGTAAAGGTCAACTTGAACTGAACGAACAATTATTGCATTCGACCTAGACCAATCAGAATTAAGCAATATCAGCACTTTGTATCACAAAACAGAAATAGAGGAAATAGGTTGTTAGACTGTAAAACGTTTTTTTCACCCACCTTGCTGGTGGGAAGACAGAAGTTAGAAACATCTGCCCGTGTAATTCCTCTAAGCCTGCTTAAAATAATCCATAATCTTGAATATTATATTTTAATTCCTCTTATCCCCACCGAAATCTTTCCCAAATAATTCGTAAAATGGTTTTGAAGTAAATTTAATAGGTTCTCGGGGCCAGACACCTTAGTGCGCAATTTATGCTCTGACGAATGTTCTGACGCAGTTAAGGTTGGCTGTGATTGGTCAATTTCTGCGAAAATCCTTAAGGCCTCATTCTTTCAATACGAAAACTTGGCTTTCACAGCTACATGTGCATTCTATTTCCTTGAAGGATAAGAAATCAGTATTCACCAGGTGAGTGGGGTATATGTTGAAACATATATCGTCGTGTCGAACGTTCAATCAAAGGGGTGGCGGCAGCTCAACAGTTGCTTCACACGTCGCACTATTGTCGTGCGGAACTTAACTGCATTAAGTTCGACTCTAGCGCTAGGGTCGATAACTGATTTAAACGTCGCACTATACCCGCGCGGAACTCAGTTCTAGTTCACTTCAATTTTGTTCGACATTTAACTATTCTATCGAACTCAGTGGCAATTATATCTCAGCTCTATTCTCTTTCAGAAGTGGCGCTACATTCTGATCGGTGAAAAATCAAAATAAGAAGGTCATACATAGGCACTGAGTTCGACACAAATGCAGCTCGAATTTTGGAATCAAAGTCGCACCAAAGTCAATCTCCTGGGCGTTCTGGTATATATTGGGAATCAATTTGGCTATACTAAACGATCTCTTACTCAGTCTCACATTGCTATATTGCACAACTAAACGCGCACCTCAGTGTCACTTTTTATGTTATCTAAAATCGTTAATTGTTGAGCTGTAGGTGAGAGTTTTGATATCTTTGCAAAGTAGAATTTTAGTCATAACGATTTGCCTGTAAATGTCGATGTAAACACGAATAATGGAACCAATCAAAGGAATTATCGGAGCTGTGTCAATTAATAACCCCAAAGATACTTTAATGTGAGCAATATTATGGCTCCGCATAAAATTCGTGCGCGAATGTGTTTATGGACTGTCTTGTCAGTTGAGGGCATAAAAGGATACGTCCGCCCTGAACGGAAATAAAACAAAATAAACTGTGATAATCATTACGGAATTGAAGTTGACCCTTTCTGGAGGTATATCCTGAACAAAACAACTCGCTGGCATGAACGACATCTCCTCGATCGCGCTCAATAGTTATAGGAATAGATAGTCGTGTGGATATGTTCAGGTGTAATCTCAATGACATCAAGAGACGGATACACGTTTTTATGGTGTTTTAATAGCCTTGCTAGCTGAAAAATAATTTGATTCAGCAGAGATGCTGTGTTACTTTACTAGAAATCAATCCTTCATTTTGTTTTCGTTTCTGCTAATATTCTGCCATTTCGGCATGTAAGTCTAGATGCATTTATAAAAATTTAATGACACAATTCAAACGATAATGGTTTTTGGCAAAAAGTCCACTACAAAGACTCCAAGAAAGTTATTAACACAGCTTTATTGATATTACACTATATATTTGACCTTTCTTTACAATGCAGCTGAGATATCAGTTTGTTGTTGATATTCATTATCTTGACTGTCAACAGTGTTCCGCATTTTACTAACGAGGAAGGAGTAAGGTGGATGTAAAGCATATATGTTCTTATTGCACGATTATCAGACTCTCAGGACCAGTCAGTTTATACCTCATGATTTCCCCTGCAACGATTTTCAAGTTGTAAGTGAACTAGTAAAAATAAACGCATATATTGTTTTACGAGGAAACGTGATACTTCAATAACTAAATGGCTAAAAAAAAGAGGGCAGTAAAATATGACAACTACAATATCGTAACCGTGAATGTGTTGACGAGTATTTTTGTCAGTTGTGGAAAAGGCCTCTATGCTACTTATATTCTGTGAAGTATCGTTTTGAGTCTATATAGCAAGATCATGGGATAGACTAATTGTTCTGTTTGGAATCTCAGGGACTTAAGAAGTTAAAACCAATCAAAATATCCGGTCCTCTTTCGAGTAAACTGGTTCCAAAAGTACCTTGGACCCCCTTGAAAGAAGCGGAAAACTTCACAGTCCTAAAGTGCGACCTCCAGTGAAGTTAAGGATTCCGAAAATAGCGAGTTGATTATCCGTATTCATGAATCGGAAGAACGCACAATCTTTGAACCACCATCTTGTGGAAGCTGAGCGGGCCCCGTCCACATTATAGCTATGCCGGAGAAGTTTTGAAAACGACGTTTTCCCTCCGAAAACGCATGCAATGTTTTCCGTTCACACTATGTATACGCCGGGGAAATTTGAAAACGCAACAATCACTGCCGGCAGAAAAGCTTGATTGGACCCTTGAGAGCTAGGGTTAATCACATGGTTATCAAGACGTCATCTGTTTTCAAAATGCTTTTTGATCAAACTAAAACGCAAAAGCCAGCGTTTTCAAATTCCTCCGGTTTTCGACCCGGATTAGATTGGACAGTAGATCTAACAGTATAAATAAAACTGCGTTTTGACATTTTTCCTGAGTAGTGTGGACACGGCGAGAGACTGCCTCCAGATTGTAAAAGACGCACAAGGATCTCTTCAAATTTCTTTTTTAAAGCAAAAATTACGTAATAATTACCTCTGGGTGTTGATGTATGTTTGATATGTGCAAGTTTTTCTTATGTAAGCTCAGTCCATATATATTATGCATGTTTTAACAAACTATAGAAACTAACGACTTTCCGAAAGTGCAGCGTGATACTAGTCGCATGTTGCGGATGACTTCCGTTACCAGTATCATTATAGTGAATGACGGAAATACTGAACCATAAAACAAAATAATCAACAAAATTTCGTTACACAACGTTGGTCACTTTATCAAGCTTAGCTCATACTGTCTTGCTATATATCTGTTTCATTTTACAAAAATATCGCTGTTAGCATCCACAAAACAAGAAAACATATTCAGATTATACTGGGATTATAACGTACAAGTTTACTTTGTGACCGTTGCAGTGACCTCGACTCTCGTATTTACTCTGATATTCCGGTCAAACATGACCGCTGAAACGACACTCGTTATGGCTCCGAACTCATTAGTTTATTTTCTAATAGTGAGTAATTAGTTATATACACGACAATGACTGCATAGAAAATCTAAAAAAGGGGCAGTCCTTGCAATTTCAATAATAATTTCCATTTGAAAAGACATTGTCGTTCTGGATCAAGGCGTCAAGTACACAAAAGATCTTGCAAAACTTTACCAACCCATAGTAAGAACTTCTTTTTTATTCGTCAATTTAGAGCCGGTGCTTAGCTTTCTAGTGACTAAACTCTCACCAGAAGAATTTTCTTTGTGTAAAAACTGACCGAGCCCACTTGGTTAATATTAACATAAGTATTATATCATTTTAGACTTGCACAATCCTTGAGATTTTCGCAACGTGATACCACTGGCCATGAAAATACTAGGGCTTTATTCACTGCTGCTGACGCATTGGAGTATGTGCGAAACAGCGGAAACTTTTCCCTGTGGTGATGTTTGTGAGTGCTCAAGCAATCATGAAGGCATCGTAGCCAATTGCAGTCGGCGAAACCTGTCGCATCTACCGGCTCGACTGCCAGATGAGATTCAATATCTGTAAGTTTGAAGTTTGTATCTCTCTGATTAAGTTGAGCTAGTTCATCTCAGTATCAGTATTTCGTCTTGGGGTGCTGGGCTAAACAACTACATTGAACTTGTTGAAGCCTCTAGTTTATACTGCAGTGCACGTGAGAGACACCTTTATTTCTCCTTCGATTTTGCCCTTGATTATGGATTTATGAAGTGAAACATCAGAGAATGCCGTCAGGTTGTGTTACAGTTCTAGAGCGCAGTTCAGAGGTCCTGTATTACTCATGTGAACTATCATTGGAACTGCCTGCCGTTCAAAGTTTTCTTTTGAAATAATGAAAATATTTGGCTACTTCTGGAAGTAAATTTTGACGGGAATGGTTGGAGCAATCGAAATCTATCGATTCTTAAATTTGTTTAGTTGACGTTAGTTACCCACACAGACATTTAATCCTTTGTGTACTCAGTCTTTGTTCACTTCATTACTTCAATCTATTTTCTGTAGACGTCAAACTCTATAGATATATGAAATGTTAGATTGGAACAAGCGAAAAGGTTGAAGTCGAAGTTGATATGGGACATGTGGGTTACCTGCAGTAACACAGACAAATCGTCATTTCCGGAAAACACCCATGCTAACCGGAGGCTCAAGTACCGGCTTATATCAAGGACAAATTTACCTTTAAAACAATCGATCAAAGAATATCGTTACGATTCTTTTTCTGTCTACTGCTCTTGCTATGCTTTTGATATTTCCTTGGCAGGTAACAGCCATGTCAGAATCTATCGAGCCGTTTGCGAGAAGTCACGTAACGCTTCTCCAGTGGAATTATTGCGTGACAACCCCGAAGAAGCGACAAGTGCGATGTCTTGTCATGCCAAAATCCTGCACCCAGAGACGGTCCTATATTTTATTGTTTGTAGAATAAGCTACTTACGTCTTTATATATTGTTCATTATTTTCCAGAGATCTCTCGGGTAACACGATATCAACCTTATCACCTCCACAAATGTCACAAGTCGTGGATCTTCCAAGGAGTTTGTGCGTTTTGTAAGTCTACCAGCCTTGTTCAGATTTATAATTTACTGAACTGTTTAAATCCGCAGGACATCGCGGGGTGCTAGATGCCAAAATAGTTCCTTTCTCTTTCCCTTTGAGACTTGCATTCTCTGTAAGAATGGATTTCAAAAATTGTAGCAATGTTTGGTTCTTTGCTCTTTATTGAAAGATTAAAGCAATTTGCTCCTTCCAATTTATCACTGCACATATCTTAACTATACCCTCTGGAAACAGAAATATAACTATTGTTTTAATTTTTCCTTTTTTTCCTCCAATGATTTTGAAGAGGGGAAGCATTTGATATTTTACATTATTATTTGGCTAGCTCCGTTGAGGGGGCAAGATGAATCAGATCCTACGCTGTTTTTGGCTACCAGAGATGGCAAGATAGCGCCATCTTGCCCTCTAGGGACTACCCGCTGCGTCCCGCAAGAAAAATTTCGCCGAAAGCCATACAATAAGTCCTTTATTGACCAAGCTTGTTCGGTCAAAATGGATGTTGGCCTCGTTCTTTTCCTACTTGTTTATGGACCTCGACTCCGTCTCGGTCCATAAACACGCAAAAAAAAAAAAAAA